AAATGAACTGTACTCTATGTGACAATGGAAGAGCCATGCTGTTTGATACAGATATGCCAATCACATACAGGGGAAAGGCAATTTTGACTGCATGCTGTCTCCAAAACCGACCACCAGGAAAATCACCAGAAAACTTCAAATGAACTGTGGGAAAAAAAAGCCCCAAATTTGAACCATCTGAACATTTTGGAAGCAAAGCCTATGTGCACATCCCCCCAAAAAAAACATACAAAATGGGATGTTCGAGCAAAGGAATGTGTACTTGTGGGGTACAGTGAATCTCAAAAGGGATACAGAATTCTACACCAAGACACAAACAAGGTAACCATCAGTAGAAGTGTAATTGTCCGTGACATTGCTAGGGGCTATAGCCGCTAGCAATAATTGAATGTTTGTACCCAAGTTGATTGATCCCCTCTAACCCTATTCTGGAAACAATGGATGGTATGCACAAGTGAAGGCAAAACATGTTTTTAATGACTATACTTAACATAATTGTTGTGCATGTTTTTCATAAGGTATACAAACAGATAGTATCTTTGATCACCTGAGTTTCATATTAGTAACGTATTAGTTATTTCAGGTACTTATATAGCACTGTCAATTTACACAGCGCTTTACATATATATTGTAAATTCACATCAGTCCCTAACCCTCAATGGGCATACAATCTAAGGTCCCTAACTTACATTCATACATATACACACTAGGGCCAATTTAGACAGGGGCCAATTAACCTACCAGCATGTCTTTGGAGTGTGGAAGGAAACCGGAGTACCCAGAGGAAACCCACGCAGGCACAGGGAGAACATGCAAACTCCAGGCAGGACGTGCCGTGGTTGAGATTTGAACCAACGTCCCTAGTACTGCTAGGTGGAAGTGCTAACCATTTAGCCACTGTGCTGCCCAATAGTAATAGACTAGTAATTAAATTTTTATACATTGCATAAAGTTGCCGCCATCATTTCCTATAGAAGAATTTAGCGGTATTTCATGAATACCATCAAGTTGTTTGGAGTCCAGCACATGTGGATACTCTTGTAGTTCCACAATTTGTATATGTGATAATGATGATAACTTATCTATCATTTCATGTAACATATTCTGTGGGACCCATAATGGAGGCTTTCATATTGTGAAAACTTCTTTTTATCTGATAAAATCACAAATATATGAATAAGTAGTATCTAACTAAATTTTGGATATTCGATTTGAATTCAAATCAGATTGATATTTTTGATTCAATTAGAATACTTCAGAAAATTTGGATCCTTTTCGAAAATGAATAAACAAAACAAAACAAATATTTTTGTTCTGCGCATGTCTATTCTCCACCCCCAACATTTTTTTTTTTTCTGTCTAGAAGGGTGCTGCCATTTTTGTTCAGGCATTATCAAGCTTCAACATTTACTATATGGACTGAGATGCTTGCTCAGGGATGAGCTGCCTTGTTGTATCCTGAACTGATGAGGAGACTGAAGAAAGACATCATCACATCCTAGTCACTTGAGATCAATGATTGCTTTAATAGTAAAATATAGAGATTCTTCTTTTTTTTTTCAAAAATATGCTCTATGTATGACCTGAATTTTTGAAGTATATATGCACATTAGTTCTAGAATAAAATGTTAATTTTATTGCAGAAGAATTAGGGCCATAGCTCTTTTGGCTAGACTTCTCCTATGGGTCACATGAGTGCACTTAGATCTGCATGCCCATGACCCATTTTCAGGTGACAACAGGCCAAATGCTGTCACTCAGCTGGTCCAGGCCCTGAAAAGATCCTGACTTTAATGTAGGGATCCTCCCAGATCCCTGCCCAGCAGCTGGCCAGCCGCTCCCACATTCTCCACAACCCACGCTTCAGTGAGCTCTGGAAGGGCAGAGAATACAACCAGTGACTGACAACAGCCAGCTCTCTGCTCCCTGAAGACCGAGAAATGTGCAATCAGCAGTCTTTGATCACTCAGTTCTCGGTCTTAGTGGCAGTGGGGGACAGATACACTATCGGACCGATGCTACATCCACAAAGGTGAGTATGACTTTTTTTTTACCCAAACTTCTCCTTTTACTAAATCACTCTTCTCTGCCATACCCTGAAAACCAGAACTAAGTATTTTTTGTCATACTTAAAGAAAAATTGTGAAATCATTATGTTAAGATATTGTTGTAAGTAGTTCTATTTTTGGCAAGAGAGGCCATTGTTTTTAGATGAGCTCTGACCTTCCAGCTACTGAACTTTGGAAAACTAATAAATTGTCCCCTTAAAAATATTGTCCAAAAGAGATATTGAGTGAGAGTGCTGCTGTTTATGCGTAGTAGTAATAGGAAAATCATAAAAAAAAAAACTGGATGATAAGTATTGCACTAACAAACACATAGATAAAACACAGCGTATCAGAATGTTCTGTGGAGACATCAACAGGTGGCAGCTTTTAAAGAATACTCTAGGACAGTGGTTCTTAACCTTTTTGGAGGTACTGAACCCCACCAGTTTCATATGCGCATTCACCGAACCCTTCTTAATTTGAAAAATAAAATATGATTTTTAAAATTCAAAACATAGGTATATATTTATACATAGGTGCACAAAATGAACAAAACCATTAAGAACAAAGAACAAAACCATTAAAACATGATTTTCAAACAAAAACAAAATAATGAATATTTACCGCAAATCAGTGTGACTTCTGCTGTTGTCTTTCAGAGGCCAGTTCAGAAATGCACGGCATTACCTTGGCAAGTGCCACTCTCATGTCATTTTCGCAACAAAGTCTGTTCCTTTTCTTCATCTTTATGTCCAGCATCCTCGAAAAGGATTGCTCGCAAAGATATGTTGTAACAAACGGTATGAAAATTCATCCCCCATAGTAATTCATCCCCCCCATATAGTAATTCATCCCCCATATAGTAATTCGTCCCCCATATAGTAATTCATCCCCCATAGTAATTCATCCCTCATAGTAATTCATCCCCCATATAGTAATTCATCCCCCATATAGTAATTCATCCCCCATAGTAATTCATCCCCCCATATAGTAATTCATCCCCCATATAGTAATTCATCCCCCCTATAGTAATTCCTTCCCCATATAGTAATTCATCCCCCATATAGTAATTCATCCCCCATAGTAATTCATCCCCCATATAGTAATTCATCCCCCATAGTAATACATCCCCCATATAGTAATTCATCCCCCATATAGTAATTCATCCCCCATATAGTAATACATCCCCCATATAGTAATACATCCCCCATATAGTAATTCATCCCCCATATAATAATTCATCCCCCATATAGTAATTCATCCCCCATAGTAATACATCCCCCATATAGTAATTCATCCCCCATATAGTAATTCTTCCCCCATATAGTAATACATCCCCCATATAGTAATACATCCCCCATATAGTAATTCATCCCCCATATAGTAATTCATCCCCCATATAGTAATTCATCCCCCCTATAGTAATTCATTCCCCATATTAAGTCCCCAAGTCCCCCCTGTGTCAATTCACTTACCTTTGCTCCGCACGTTCCTCTCGCTGTATTCCCGCGCCGTTCAGGTCTTCAGGGCGGACTGTGAGAGGAGCCTAGCTCCTCTCACGTTCGTCACGCTGCCCCGCCTACACACATCCTGACAGCCAATCACTGGCTATCAGGATGTGAGTGGCAGCGAGACTGGCCAATCATTGCATTTGAGTCCCTGCCGCCCGAGAGGAGGGAGGGGAGCGGGCGCCCGGCACACAAGAGCCGCGGCTTGCCGACCACTGGGCTAAGCGATGTTGCGTGACCACCTGCAGCCAATGATGGACAAGCGGGGCATGTCATCACAAATCATATGAGTCGGGTGTGGGTCACCTCCGCCGAACCCCCGAGACTGACTCACCGAACCCCTGGGGTTCGATCGAACCCAGGTTAAGAACCACTGCTCTAGGATATAAAATAAGAAAGAGGAGAGAAGGGAAGCGCACCACTCTCAGCGTAGTGTTAATAAAGGCAGTGCACAAAAAATGAAGAGGTGCACTCACATAGAGAGAGTGCAAGAAACAGAAACCAAAGGCAGAGTGGGCAGCTCTAAGTGTAGAAATATTTATTACAGAAAAAGATAAACAATAAAATACACTCATATTTAGTAAGTGAAGCAACAGGCAATATAGCAAAAACTTATAACTGTTGGCATCATATCATGGGCTCCAATGGATAGTCAGTCCTGGATGATCATAGAATGAAAACGAACTCACATTGGTGTGTGTGATTGGAGGCCACTGTGGAGTGCAGGATGACATCACGCTTTAAGCGTGAGTGGGCCCCTGACAAAGGGGACTTCACCCCAAAACACGCGTTGTCTACTCACGCCCAAAGTGTGATGTCATCACAGCTGGCCCCTGTAGCTACTGATTTTGCTTCCTGCTCTCCACAGTGACCTCCAATCATACACACCAGAGTTCCTCCCAGTTTTCATTCTATGAGAGACTATAGTGCTTTTTGGCACACTTATCTACCTGTGACCATCCAGGACTGACTATCCATTGGAACCCATGATAAATGTGAGTGTATTTTTATCTTTTTATTAATGAATAATACTACACCTAGAGAAGCCCACTCTCCCTTTGGTTTCTATTTTTTGTACATTGCCATCTCTTAATTTTTTGTACATTGACTTTATTAATACTACATTGGATTGTCCGGCCATCAGTTTGTGACCTCAAGCTCAAGCGCACTTGGGTTAGGCAGTAGGACAATGATCCAAAACACACCAGCAAGTCTACCTCTGAATGGCTCAAAAAACCCCAAAGTTAAGGTTTTGGAGTGGCCTAGTCAAACTCCGGACTTAAATCTGATTGAGATGCTGTGGCATGACCTTAACCACTTCCCATCCGGCCCATGTACATAAACGGCCACACGGGAGCAGTGCAGGAGCGGGTGGCCATTTATAAACATCCTCTTTCATCCATTGCCTGTGTGCGCTCCCTGGGAGGACACAGCATAACACCGATCGCTGTACGGGACCTTTGTGTGAGGTCCCGATCATGTGATAACAGATTAGCCAATCAGTGATCACATGAATAGTAGTAAGCAAGATGTCACTTCCTGACATCATTGCTTGCTACTAGTGAAATCACAACAGCCTTGTACCATGTGACAAGCTGTGACCAATCACAGCTCTCACAGTATTTCTCAATGGCTACAAGAATGCAGCCAGAGAGGAGAAATGATTGCTTTTACAGCCTTCATGGTTGTAAAAGCAATCAGTGTTAAAAAAAAAAAAATCTTCATCACCCCCCACACTATGGTGACACTGTACTGCTAGGGTGGCAGTATGTTAAAAAAAAAACCATAATTAATAATATAAAAAAATAAAATAAAAATGTAAAATGTTTTTTAAAAAATTATAATTTTTGGTTATAAACTAATTTGGGTTTTATTTTTTTACTAAAAAGATAGCTGAATAACTTTTTGGCCAAGATTTATGAAGAAAGATTATTTATTTGCAAAATTTTATAAGAAAAACACTTTTTTTTCAAAATGTTTGGACTTTTTAATTTATATAGCAAAACAATAAAAATCCCAGTAGCGAATAAATACCACCAAAATAAAGTTTTATCTGTCTCAAAAAAAATGCTAAAAAATCATATGGGTACAGTGTTGCATGACCGCGCAATTGTCATTCAAAATGTGATAGCACTAAAAGCTGAAAATTGGCCTGGACAGGAAGGTGGTGAAAGTGTCCGGACTTGAAGTGGTTAAACAGGCCATTGATGCTCAAAATGTGGTTGAATTAAAACAATTCTGAGTGGGCCAAAATTCCTCCACGGTGATGTGAAAGACTCATTGCCAGTTATCGCAAGTGCTTTATTTCAGTTGTTGCCACCAAGGGTGGCACAACCAGTTATTAGGTTTAAGGGGCAATTACTTTTTCACATAGGGCCATGAAGGTTTGGACAACTTTTGTCCCTTAATCAATGAAATCATCATTTAAAACCTGTGTTTTTTTTATTTATTAAATGCGTTTTGTGTAATATTAAAATTTGTTTGATGATTTAAATAATTTCAATGAGACAAATATGCAAAAAAAAAAAAAATCAGGAGGCAGTACTTTTCACAGCACTGTATTTTCTCTCCAGGCTGAATGTTATTCATTTGTAAAATGGAATAGGAAAATACCACATTATGGCCAATAGATGAAGTGGATGATTACAGTAAATAAGCATTTATTCCCTATGATCATCAGCCTCATCTAGGTTTTGCTCCAAGAACAAATGTACATGCAATTTTCGACGGAAAATAGCTCTGTTTTTTTTTTTTGCAACACACAGTAAGATGTGAATTTTGTGGTGTCCTGCATTGCTAAAAGAGGGTCATGTGCATCTTTTGCTCCATTGTTATGCATTGGCAGCCCAATCATAATGAAAGGGTCACATTAACACCAAGCTTGTTAACATGTGAAGTAAGGCATGTTAGCACAGCACAATGTTAGTTAAAGTGGCCCTAAAGATGAAGAATGATGTATTAGGACTTCTTTCTGTCATTCTAAATCTGGTTTTGCACTTGTTTGTGTTGGGATTTTACTGTATATCATGGATTCATTGTTGTTAAAGCAGTATTAAACCCAAAAACAAAAATATATTTAATATATATTACTGCAGCTTACCAAATCTTATATGTGATGGCTGCATTTGTTTTTTTTGCTTTTCTCCTTTATTTTCACCTGGTGATCTGGCAAGTAAATCTGTTGTTTTTCAACAGACTAAGCTGCCCAGCAAAAGAGGCAGTGAGACATTTGAAACAAATTATTTAACACTGGCAAGGGTGCTTATAATGGTGAGTTTTTATTTATTTAGGTAAAACCTTTATCCCAAAAGTAAAAAAAATATTTTGCTATTAATGCTTAAAATTGTTAGCTGGAGGTCAGCGTTAGTTCATTAAGTCATTCTAAATTTGCAACCAGTGGCATATCTGTAGTGCTACTCCCATAGAAGTCGTTAGGATACTTTCCACCTCTTCCCTAAACTTTGCCCCGTAGCCAGGCACAAGGTAGTTTCAATGTTAAGGACACATGTACTTTCACTTGATGTCTTCAGTGATCAGTCTAGGGGTTTTGTTTTGTAGTTTTATTGTTGGAGAACTTAGACAGGGAGAAGGAGATTTAGTAGGATACTCCAGGAATAGAAGTAATTACAGCTGAGAACAGAACTTCCATGAATAGAAGCCTTGAGCAAAGTCCCAATGTCAGAATAGGTCCCCAGAGACCACAAGATCACTCAGTGTCTGTACTCACAAGGCCCAAGGACAGAATAGTAACCTCCTTCCAATCTTCAAGAGATGCCCTCCAGTGATGCCACACAGATCTTTGGCAGACAGCTCCCCCCATTCATCTTACTGAAGAGCCAGGGCCACTCTCTAACTTCAGGCCCTCAGGTAGCCCACCTGAGGCTGCATGGCAGCAGGTGCCTGGTGAGGCAGCGTGCCTTCCCCCAGGCTGGTACAATCCTCTCCAGGAAAAGACCAAGGGCTCAGTGTGCCCAAAGAATAAATACCCTCTCCCAGCATCCTCCAATGCTACAGTTCCTGGGATTGGCTGGAGCGGCATTTATTTTCATACTGTGTTCTGCAGGAGTTCCACCTATACATCCAGGACCTTTCTAGGTTACTTGGATACAGAGGAAGCCAGAGGCAGAACTAGCAGCACTTGAACACACTGAGCAGGCATTACTAAACAATTGCAGCTCTCTGTTAAGCAAAAGCCTGATTAGATTTTCCTCTTGTGTAAAGCAGAGGAACCAAACTATTATCTACTTACCCTATCACCTACCTAGGGGGTGCTACATATCCTTAATAGGTGCAGTGTGTGCCAGGCGCTCATCCCCGAGAGGGTGCAGACCACTGTGCACTCACTTCACACATTTGGGTTCACAGGGGCTTCCTGCGCACTCTGCATCTCCCTCCTGCAGTCCCCTGTTCTCCACAACCCCCCTCCATGTTGTTGGTTGCTAGAAACTGGCTGCCACCCAGCTGTCAGCATCCTAGCAACCAATGAAATACTTGGTCCAGCACTGACCAGACAGGGGAACTTCTGTTGAAGAAATAACCAATCTAGAGTCCATTGTAAACTGGGGGACTCTGATGTGAACGTGGGGGCTCTGATGCAAACTAGGGAAATCTGATGTAAACTGAGGGATTCCAAAGTGGACTGGGGGACTCCAGTTAACATCAGAGTCTTCCATTTCTCAGCCGAATCCCCACATTCACATCAGAGTGCCTTCATGAACAAAAAAGACCACAAGTTCATATCAGAGCTTACACATTCATATCAGAGCCCCCAAATTCCCATCAAAGCTCCTATGTTTACATCGGAGCCACCACATTCTCATCAGGGCTCCCACATTCACATCAGAGCTCCCACATTCCCATCAGAGCCACCACATTCATATCAGAGCCCCCATGTTCACATCAGAATTTCTCAGTTCACATCAGAGCCACCACATTCTCATCAGGGCTCCCACATTCACATCAGAGCCCCCATGTTCATATCAGAGCCCCCATGTTCACATCAGAGTTTCTCAGTTCACATCAGAGCCCCCACATTCTCATCAGAGCTCCCACATTCATATCAGAGCCCCCATGTTCATATCAGAGCCCCCACGTTCACATCAGAGTTTCTCAGTTCACATCAAAGCCCCCACGATAACGTCATAGTCCCTTACTCGACATCAGAGTCCCTTGTTTACATTGGGAGTCCCCCAGTTCACATCAGAGCCCCAGAATTGGGGGACTATGAAGTGAACGTGGGGCCTCTGATGTGAATGTGGGGAACTCTGCTATGAACTGAAGCACTCTGATGTGAAGTGGAAGACTCCGATGTGAACTTGGGGACTCTGTTGTAATGGGTGGACTTCTGATGTACACTGAGGAATTTGATTTGAACAGGGGGGCTCTTAATATGAAGGAGGACTCTGATGTGAACTGGGGGACTTTGATGTGAATGTAGGGATAGCTCAGTTAAAGTGTAAAAAATAATATCTATGTTTGCCCGTACGGGATGTACAGGCAAGTAGACATACTGGCAGGAAATTCAATGAACAACCATGGTGCTGCCCAGCTCCGTGGTAGTTCATTGAAAACTACAAGCCCACAGCCGCTAAGACTGTCAGGACTGGTAGTTTATTCATTCACAGAACATTATTATATTATTATACAGTATTTATATAGCTCCAACAGTTTGCTCAGCGCTGTACATTACAAAGGGGGACAGAACATGTGACAGTACAGTAACAATACAATGCGATACACGAGGGGTTCGAGGGCCCTGCTCTTTCGAGCTTACAATCTAGGAGGGAGGGGATAGTGGTACAGGAGGACATAGCTGTGGGGGATGGAGTGGTAGGAAGAGTGGAGGAGGTTGGCAAATTAGCAGGGGGTGGGGTAGGCTTCCCTGAAGAGATAGGTTTTCAGGGTACGCCTAAAGGCGGGGAGAGTAGGTGATAGTCTGATGGGTTGGGGCAGGGAGTTCCAGAGGGTGGGTGACACCCTGGAGAAATCCTGGAGGCGGGCATGGGAGGAGGAGACCAGGGTACTAGAGAGAATGAGGTCTTGTGAGGAAGGGAGAGTGCATTTTGGGTGGTACTTGGATATTAGGTCGGTGATGTAATTTGGGGCAGTATGGTGGATGGCTTTGTACGTCAGTGTTAGGATTTTGAATTTGATCCATTGGGCAATCGGAAGCCAGTGGAGGGATTGGCAGAGGGGGGTGGCGAAAACGGAGTCTGGCTGCCATATTCAGGATCGACTGAAGTGGGGATAGCCTGTGGCGAGGCAGGCCAGTGAGGAGGGAGTTGCAGTAATCGAGTTGTGATATGATGAGGGAGTGGATGAGCTGCTTAATGGTTTCTGGGATTAGGAACGTGCGGATTTTAGCGATGTTGCGGAGGTGGAGTCTGCATGAGTTTGTTAGTGATTGGACTTGGGGCTGGAAGGATAGGTTGGAGTCCAGAATGACACCAAGTACTCTGGCGGGCCTGATAGTGGCATTGTTGGACGTGATGGAGAAGTCAATGGGGGGTGGTGTCTGGGCTGGGGGGAAGACTAGGAGCTTGGTTTTGGAGAGGTTCAGTTTAAGGAAGTGGAGCGACATCCAGTCTGATATGTCGCTCAGTAGGTTTGTGATTCGGGCGGAGACTGAGGGGGTGAGGCGAGGGATTGAGAGATAGATTTGTGTGTTGTCGGCATAGAGGTGGTAGTTGAAGCTGTGAGAGTGTATGAGTT